TCTCTGTCTGTGTGGTCTCGGTGTGTGTTGTCTCTGTGTGTGTGGTCTCGGTGTGGTCTCGGTGTGTGTGATCTCTGTGTGTGTTGTCTCAGTATGTGTTGTCTCGGTGTGTGTGTGATCTCTGTGTGTGTGTGATCTCTGTGTGATCTCTGTGTGTGTTGTCTCGGTATGTGTTGTCTCGGTGTGTGTGATCTCTGTGTGTGTGATCTCTGTGTTGTGATCTCTGTGTGTGTTGTCTCGGTGTGCGTTGTCTCGGTGGCGGGAGGTGGCGGCTGTCTCTGTGTGTGTGGTCTCGGTGTGGTCTCGGTGTGTGTGTGGTCCCTGTGTGTGTTGTCTCGGTATGTGTTGTCTCGGTGTGTGTGATCTCTGTGCGTGTGATCTCTGTGTGATCTCTGTGTGTGTTGTCTCGGTATGTGTTGTCTCGGTGTGTGTGATCTCTGTGTGTGTGTGATCTCTGTGTTGTGATCTCTGTGTGTGTGTGTTGTCTCGGTGTGTGTTGTCTCGGTGGCGGGAGGCGGCGGCGGCGGGAGGCGGGATGCGAGATAGAAAAGAATAACCCCACACTAAGATGTGGGGGAAAATACACAATACACATACCATCAAAAAACAATCGGTTGAATAGTGTGTGTGTGCCCCTTGGAATCACAGGGATCCTGTCGGATTGTTCTTATGAGTTTTCTCAGCAGGGGGCATGCGGCCATCACGCAAACGCATGCCAACGAAGCTATGCGTGATGGTGGAAGCCAGGTCTGATCAACCTGGCGTACCTGCCTTTGAGAACCTAAGTAAAGCAAAAGCTGTCCAATACGTTGTTTCTGCACTTCGTGTCTTTGCGATTAAAGGGCTAACGCAGCGGCAAGTCATTTCGGGTTTGCTCTGGAGGCATTGGAGGTTTCGTGGAGTCTTTCAGTTTTGTAACTCACCTGAACCCTTAGGCACTTGGTTACCTAGGTTGGCGCGCGGCAACCGCTTTCAAATCAGTATGCATTTCTATAAGTGTGTCTCTCCTCGCGAGAGCCCGGGGTGACCCGCAGAGTGGCCCCTGTGGACCCGTCGAACGGGTGTTTGTCGAACGTACCCCCTGCCCGGATACAAAGTAGTCCGCAGCGGACAAAGTAGGCTTAGGCCAAAGTAATTTGCCAAGACTTGCTGAACTATTGCCTTCTAAAATGGCTCCTGCCTTTACGTGACCACAGCGGTCAATGCTGCCAGCCATTTTGGCGCGGCGTACGTGGCCGATGCTTGCGTCGTAGCTGGGGGCGCCTCTTTTGCTGTTTGGTGTGTCCCTGGACGCTTGTGTCGTAGCTGGGAGCACCTCTGTCTCTCTCTTTTCTCTCTCTCTCTCTCTCTCTTCTCTCTCTTCTCTCTCTTCTCCATCTTCTCTCTCTTCTCTCTCTTTTCTCTCTCTTTCTCTCTCTCTCTCTCTCTCTCACCGCTTCTCGTAGGTTCAATTTTCACCCTACCTCACCCTCGTCCGGAGCTTAACTGAAAAAGAACGCCTCCCCTCGGGGAGGCGTGTGTGTGTGCGCGCCCCTTGGAATCACAGGGATCCTGTCGGATTGTTCTTGCTTCTTGAGTTTTCTCAGCAGGGCGCATGCGGCCATCACGCAAACGCATGCCAACGAAGCTATGCGTGATGGTGGAAGCCAGGTCTGACCAACCTGGTGTACCTGCCTTCGAGAACCTAAGTATGGCAAAAGCTGTCCAATACGTTGTTTCTGCACTTCGTGTCTTTGCGATTAAGGGCTAATGCAGCGGCAAGTCACTTCGGTTTTGCTCTGGAGGCATTGGAGGTTTCGTGGAGTCTTTCAGTTTTGTAACTCACCTGAACCCTTAGACACTTGGTTACCTAGGTTGGCGTGTGGCAACCGCTTTCAAGTCAGTATGCATTTCTATAAGTGTGTGGTTTTCCTTTTGCAAGAACAATACTTTCCCTTGGCGCAGCTCCTCGTCCCCGAGCTTCCGGAATTGGCCTTGCTTAGTCTCAGCCTTCTTCGTGAAGGAGACCTGCCGATGAGACGCCGTGAAGGAAAAATGTTCCAGCTCAGTGCAACCTAAGAGCAATGGCCTGAAACCGAATTAGTAGCAATGGCCTCCAAGCTAATTGCGAACTGGTGATGGCCTCCAACCTACTAGCGATGGCCTCCCAACCTAACTTGGCTTTGCCAAAACAACTCAGTCCAAGTCTTGAGAAATGCTGGCCTTCTTCACAGACGCGCCCTGCTCAAGGGATCGACGAGGACAAGTCTAGTGAAATTGTTTCTACTAGCTTCTTGTTACTAGTAGTAAGGCACTTGTTACTACTAGCGATGCACTTGTTACTACTAGGAACAAGAAAAAACTTGTTCAGTCAGTTAGAAATCCTTGCCAACTCCCTGCTCCGACAAAAAGTACATCGGCGTGCCATGAATAGCCAAATCAGAACGGCAATGATCAGCGCCACCAAGATGAAGCCCAAAATGAAGAGCCAGAGCTGGAGGCCAGTGATCACATGATCAATAAGAATGATCTAAACCCACGTCACTCCGATGCAAAAACGCATATTTGCATGTTTAATGCCGTGCACACATCTGTGTGCCAGACCGAACATGGTTCAAAATGTATTTTTATGTATTTTTCCTGCAGTTTTGTTGTTTCGACTTGTTTACATGGCTCTGCCGTCTCAGTCTGACTCTGTCTGCCTCTGCATTTGCATGGCTAGTGCCCTGGCTTTGCGGAAGACACAAGGCCATAGTGCCGGAATGATTGTGTGCCACAATTTGCCACCGTCCAGTGTCCAGGGTCATCAGTTGTTCGGCAGAAGCAATACAAATCTTAGTCTGTGTCATTTTGTGCACACGTGACTTCAGTGACTTCACGCCTGCGGCGGTGCATTTGCAGGCTGTGAGTCTGACGGCTGTGCCTGTCACATCTTTTTTCTGCAACAATCTGGAACCGCGACGAAAGCGAAAAATGCGCAAACTGCTTGACTTGATTCGTCTTGGTCCCAAATTTCCTTTCGTTGTCAGTTGACCCTGCCTTCCGCAGAACTGCCTCGTGGGCTGGGTGTTGCAGTTGAAGAAAGTACGTTATGTGTTCTTTCTAGAGCCAAGAAGCCAAGAAAGAATGAACAAGTGGAAAATCACAAAACATGCGAAAGTCAGTCAGTGTGCTTCAATACCTTGTGATTCAAGAAGCAAAAATGAACTAGACGACGGTTGGCCCGAGAGCGAGACATGTAATTGTCCAGCACTGTCGAAAAGATGTATAGAAAGAGAGAAAGAGAGGGTGGATGTGAAGGAGTGACAGTGTGATGCGCAGGTGCGATATAGATCTGTAGATGTATGGAGGTGGAGAGGTAGATCTGTGGATGTGAGCGTGCGAAGATGTAAATGCACAGAGACGAAAGAAAAGATATGTAGAAAGAAAGAAAGACAGGACAGATGTGAAGGAGCGACAGTGTGGATGTACAGATATGATATAGATGTGCAGATGTGTGGGTGTGGTGGGGTGGAGAGGTAGATCTGCGGACGTGAGCGTGTGAAGATGTAAATGTAGAGAGGTGAGGGGGTGTAGACGTAGATGCGTCGATGCAACGGCAATGCAACGTCAACTTTAGTTGTGCAAGTACAACGCTGAAGAGGCTCAACTAGAACTGAAGAACGTACATTTCACACTGAAGTTTCCACGAGCAGGGCGACCTGAGAGTAAACGACGTCACGATCATGACAAGCGACTCGTGTATTCCAAGCGAACATCGTTTGTCATGAAGGTGAAGTACACACATACTAACGTCACGATGACTCTTTTGTGGCAGCCACTTATGAGTAAGCAAAGTAGCTAAAATTTGTCAACCTCTCAAGAGAGCCGGGTGGTCGGGAGACATGACTCAGCTGCAGGGGCGCCAGAGAAGGCGCGAGCGATGACTCAGCCGCGTACTCAAGTTGTACTACAAAGTCGCCAGTTCTCAGCTTCCAGCTCCACAGCTTGCTCCGCGTACTAAAGTTGTACTACAAAGTCGCCAGTTCTCATCT